TTGTTTCAATTAAATTTATCAGTTTGGGAAGACCCAGGTTAGTTTGGATCTTTCCTAGGCAGTGGAATCCAGAAGTACACGAGTGGACAAATTGAGAGAAGCAAAGGAAAAGTCATTTATTCATTTTACTTTGCTCTTGACTGTGAATGTGTTGTAACTGACTAACATTTCTGCAGTGATGGATGATAACCTGGAACTGTAGGATGAATAACCCCTTCCTCCCATAAGTTGCTTTTTATTGTGATATTTTCATCACAGCCACATAAATGATCTTGAGCAGATCTGAACATCTCACCCCATTGTAAACAAGGAATAATGAAAAATTTGTTTCACTTCTTTGTTCCCAGGATTCCTATACAGTAGGGACATAAGATTGCCCTGTCTATAAAATAATCTTAGTAAAGAAGTGTGCAGTTTAATAATGGTTGCACAATGTGTGTAAACTACTAACAAATGTCAGCTGAACACAAAACAAAATGTGTTTCTGCTTCCTGTAATTCTTCCTTCTCTCATAGAAATCCTGTATTTCTTCTCTCAATTCTTGAAAATCTATTGTGCATTATTTGATGTACCGAGGGCATTATAAGTTACAAATACAAAATTTGGTGAAGAATAAATGTTCAGTTTAGAATGGTTTTAAAAAGCTGTCAAAGAGCTAATGAGATGTTTCAGAGGTTAAAGACAGTTGCGATCAAATATGATGACCTGAAATTAGTATCACATGATGAGAGATCACTTCCAGTTCATTTACCTCTTATCTATACACACACACACACGCACACACACACACACACAGAGAGAGAGAGAGAGAGAGAGAGAGAGAGAGAGAGAGAGAGAGAGAGAGAGAGAGAGAGAGAGAGAGAGAGAAGGAGAATTATTTTAAGCTTTTCAAAGAAGTAAACACTTGTAGCATTTGGAAGAATGCTAGGAGTTTTGCCTGTCAGCAGAGCCTTTGCAGCAAATGCAAGGTTTTCTGCAAAGTTCTGTGACCTTCTACAAACATGACATTGGAAGATTATTAGATAAAACTGGAGCACAGAGTCTAAGCAGAAAGCAGTCGAATAACAAGAAAAAAAGGTTATGCACACTGATCATTTCTCTGGTCTGCCATATAGTTTAGGTAGGTATTCTTCTCCTAGACACTGCTACACCATGGAAAGGAATTTGTTCTAGTAGAACTACACACACACACACACACATTTGTATTCATGTATGTATTTATACACATCTACTTTCACACATATACACATATAAGAACACATATACATATATACACAGGCACACACAGATACACATGTATGTATACACAGCCACTTTCTCTTATAATGTACACACATATGCACAAATAAACACATATACAAATATTCATATAAGTATACATACACACAGTCACATGTATGCACATATAGATAAATATACAAATGTAACCATACAGACGTACATACAAATGCATTACAGATACACACACACTTACACACATGCTTACTCATTTATGCATATATAATTTTTGCTATAACAGGTCATCTTTTAAATTCAATGGCATAAATAGAGTTTTATTTCTTTTTTTTTTTTTTTTTAATCATTTTTTATTTTAATTTTAAATAGCTTGTTTCACATGTCAATCCCAGTTCCCTCTCCCTCCCCTCCTCCCGCACTCCCCTTCCACCCTCCCTCCCACCCTATTGCCAAATCCCTCCACATAGGGGATGTCTAAAGTCTATCATTTCACTCTTGGTAGGGTCAAGGCACTCCCCTAAGAGTCCAGGCTGAGAGACCATCTCTCTTTGTGCCATAGGCACATGAAGACAGATTGTATACCAGGGATAGACACTGATCCACAGCTCAGAGCCCCATAGGTTGCCCAGGCCTTCTCACTGACACTCACATTTGGGGGGTCCAGATCAGTCCCATTCTGGCCTCCCCACTGTCGGTCTGGGGTCCAAGAGCACTCCCCTGTTCAGATCAGCTGTCTCTGCTGGTTTTGCCAGCCCATTCCTTGCCAATTTGCTCATCACTCCTCTCTCTCTGTCACTGGGTTCCTTGGGTTCAGTTCAGTGCTTAGTTGTGTGTTTGCCTCTGCTTCCATCAGTCCCAGGATGAAGGCTCCCGGATAGTTATAGACATCAAGTTCATTATCAGGAATGGGCATTCGAGGTGGTCCTTCCACTATTGCTTAGCTTGCCAATTGATGTTATACCTTTAGATCACTCGAGGTCACTCTGGTGCCTGATCTGTCTTCGATCCTATTTCTAAGTAACTTTTATTCATTTGGGTTTTCATTAATACCAGGAGACTCAGAACGTATGTGAAGACACCTTGTAGAAAATAAGTTTGTATTAATCACTTTGAATTATTATAGACAAAGGTGGGGGAAGGAAGGAGAAGGACTGTGGAAATAAATGAAGAGGCAAAATGTTGACCATGTGCAGAATCATCAAATGAGGCTGAGACCTGAGTTCCTCGTTCTGCCTTTGGGACTGTAGAATATAGAGATGCATGGATATGATGTGATGAGGGTCTTTCCCACCATGTCCCTTGATGCCTCATTAATCAACAGTGTTGATTCAGCACCTGGCTGGCTAAGCAGGAGTCTCGTGCTTCTTTAACCACTCTACATGTGCCTGATCTGTGGAAGAGGACCATTTTTAGCCAACGAAATACTAGCAGCTGTGCTCCCTGCTAGAACCCCCAAACAAACTCTCAAGGATAAAGGAATATGCTTGAGGATCTCATGTCAGAGACCATAGGAATCATCATTATGGCCACCCCATAGGTGGTGGGTTACTGCCAAGCCAACAAATCTTCTTGTAGAGCCAGGCAGGGATGTAGTTGGTGATATGGAGTGGCATGCAGAGAAAATCGACATCTGAACTAAGCTCCTAATCTTCTCTAGCTGCAGAGAGTATCAGAAGAGGAACATTAAAGCATGCCTTGTATCCTTGAAAGGGGGCAGGCATTGGTTGAGAAAACAAATTGACTGCATGCCTTAAGGACTTGGGAGGGGAAATTACAAAGCCAGTATGAAGCACTGAATAAGATGAAAGGCACATGAACAAAATCAGTAGAAGCCAGAGTATCTAGAGGTCAATAACCAAGGACTATCAGCCCCTGTGATTCTATGATTTGCACAGGTCAATGCCCTTAAGTTTGAAGTTAAAACAATCCCAGAGACACAATTAAAGATAGGCAGAACACCTTGACAGATAATTCTAGAGATGTTGAGATAATTGTTATTAGGAAGGTTAAATTATTCATGCTAAGAGAGAAAGAAATAGGACCACAAAACAGAAATTAAAATTGCTTATTAAAACAAAATGTATTTTTGGTCACTATTCTCCTTACATCAGTGATATGCAGGGGCATTGTAAGAGGAGCATCTATGGTGTTTATTAACAGGGCAAGCTGAAGAAAGACAGTATTTAGAGGAAGGAAGAGAGGGAAGAAGGAAGAAAGGGAGGAGGGAGGAAGACAGAAGGAAAGTGGGGGAGAGGAGAAAGAGGAAGAAATGAAGGAAAAAGATATAAAGCTATGGGAGCGAGGAAGGGAAAGGGAGGGAGGAGAAGGAAGGAAGGTTAGATGAATGGTTGGAGAGGATGGGTGGTTGAAAAATCAGTAAAGAAGTCATACTAACGTTTGATGAAATGATTTTCTCTGCAGTTTACTGAGCCCTTACACAAACTTACCTGCTATGTGTGGAAATTTCTTTTCAGGAACTAATTGTTATTTACATACGACTAAACCTGGAGTCCTCTTGGAAGAGCCAGTGCTTCTGAGGAAGGCAAGCATTCTCATCTTCCTCCTTGTACATTTTCCTTTGCCTTTTATCTTTCTGCATATCCTTTTGTTTTGGATTAATGAGCACCTTGGCCATTTCAGAACATAAAATGTGCAGCATCTTTATAACCCATCATGTGTAACTAGGCACATCCCATCTTAAAGATGTGAAGCAGTCTAGATTATGGTCATATCAAGGGCAATTATCCCTCTGACTTCACTTTATAGCCTCAAAACCTTTAGATTAACAATAACAGCAGCCTCCACACAGACCACCAGAACAGAGAACAGGAAGACAGGTAACACCATGCCAGTGTCTGGACTGTGAAGGATTGGAAAATGGAGCTTTACTATAATACCCAATGGCAACTCTGAAGCATGCTTCATTGGGAAGGAGGTTCAGACATGGAGCAGTGCAGGAACAGCTCTGCAGGCCAGACCCTGCGCCAGCCATAGACAAACTCTCCTGTGGATGCCTTCTGAGTTGCAGTCCCATTCATGAAATGTGGCGCCTGCCAGAAAGATGTTTTCCTGGACGCACCACCTTGGTCCTCATGCACTGTGTTTCCAACCTACTTTCCATTATCAGTATCTTTTCTTATATCTACTGAATGTCCTGCTATTAGTGTAATTCTCCTTTGACCCATCTCAGGCTCTCTTCTGAATCATCATATGCCTTTCCAAAGCTTTTCTGATAAAAAAGATGAAAATATAGACATGGAATAAGAAAGGCCTGCTTGTTAAAATTGTGTGGGAGGGGTTCCTGGGATAGGATAAACCAAGTGCAGAGATTAAGTGATCTTGAAAGTTCAATAAATACATAAAGATGGAAAGACTGGCCACCTTCCCAGCTTACTGGGCGATACTCTTTCCCTGTGTATAAAGCAGGGAGTTTGACTATAGCTCTTGGGAGGCATCACATGACATCTGTTGCATAATACCATTATCCAAGTAGCTGAGATGCAAGAACACAAAAGATGGAGTTTTCAAATATTGAAAAGGAGACACATTCCGTGGTTATCTAATATTTAAAGGGCTTTTGTGCTATTGCTGACAGAACAAGTTTTAGTTCCTTTTGAATCTACATTGTTTTTTTTATAAAATTCAATAAATTTTATAAGGATTCTGTGGCCCTATGGGTGACCATCATGGCATTCCTTAGTTGCTTTGTCTAAATGTCTCAGTGTGTTTTATTGTTCTTTCCTCACTTATCATTGACTAGCGTCGCAGGTACTGGCACACATACAGGGAACCTATCTACTGGTACTTGCTCCTGGATCCATACTCTCCATTGCTGAGGAAAGCAGAGGTCACCTCCCTCCCTGCATCCATGGTGAACACAAGGCAAGCCTTCTCTGGCTATGAAGGGTGAGCTAACAGGGGTTCTTCCCATTTGACAGAAGAAGATATCAAGGCCAGCAAGACTTACAAAAATCAGCAACAGCTAACGGTCCCCATGCAGCCCCAACTGCACTGAGCTGCTTGGAGTTTAAGAGTTCAGTGTTCAGTGATGCTCCATGGGCTAGTGATATTAAGAAGATGATCTGCCTGATGCTGCTCACTTCCTTCCCTTCCTTAGCACTAGAGCATGTAAGAAAACAGCACAGGCAGGGACCCGAGAAGCTCTTCAGAGAACACATATTTGAATGCTGTTCCCCAGATAATCAGGAAAGAGCTAACACTGTTAGGCTTGTGGGAAAGGTATGCTCTTTTGACTAGCTTATAAAGTGTGACAGGGACCTTGATATGTGGGTATCACTAAGAAGGTCTAAAGGCTCCATTATGAACCAAGCAGAACAAAGCACAGGTCATGGGACCCTTTTGAGAACCCACAATTATTAACTAAAATGTTTGACAACTAGATATTTCCCAGAAGTGCTTCCTTCCCACCCTGACTACCAAACCATGGGGCTCTCAAGACTTCCCATGACTGTGAATTCAGCAATCATTCAGTGGCTACTGGTTTGAGAAGTTGTGGTTTCTTGGTGTACCGTATGTACTTCAACTTTCTGTGTAATACTATCCCCAGTGTTTATGCTGTGTCTATCTATATGTGCATATTTGTATATGTCTGTACATGTATGTGTTTATGTATGTGTACATACACATACACACACATACATACACACGTTCATGCAAGCTATGACTGGATTGATAAATGCAGGTGTAGGAAAAACTGAGGTCAACCTATCCAAGCTGCAGTCGTCCTGTTCCCTGTGCCCAGGCCAGTCCACATGCTGATGTACGTGTGCAGCAGGGACTTCCTACCTGAGCCAAGCAGCCAAGCCTGCCTCACCACCCAGAGACTGCAGAGGGAGAGACACCTGACTCATAGACACCAATGAGAAAAGGTCATACAACAGAGTCAGTTGCCTGAGCCAATAGGACATTGGGAGGTGGTATAAAGGCAGGTCTAACTTCCTTATTCTGCAGCATGCTCTGCTATTCACTGACTCCCAGAGCCTGAGTCATTAGTGCTTTCTCTTCTCACCCCTCCCCAAAGTGGTATCCAAGTAGGATAACCTGCAACATGCAGAGAGTACACATGGTTTCCAGAATCCTTTGTGAAACAACAAGTGAGTCTTATGCCTGTCACCTTATGTTCTGTCTGGATGGCATGTTCTGAAAAGTGGAGCTGAAGAAAAGGAAAATAGCACTGTAAAAAGGGGGCTTCAAGTTCAATCCACAAGTACATTGAGCTCCTGCAAATGAAGAAACCACAGGAGTCCATGGTCCTACTCTCCCTCCAAGAGACAGAAGTCCAGGAGAGAGATTGCTGAGAGCATCCCTTCCAGATCTATGATTCAGGCCATGGCTTTGATTCCATAGTTTGTTCACAAGAATGAGTAAGCTTGGCATGGCACTAGAATCAAGTCAATCTTACCCAACATGGGATGATAACTAAGCAATCTTTATTTTAGAGTTTTCATGTGCCTGGGCATGACAGTTACAGTGCTGTGCAGTAGCCTCCACACCCAGGACTGCTGGTCCTCAGGAGGCAATCAAAGATACTGAGAGTTTGAGGACCCACTTACTCCTTATTTAGCTGCAAGGTGGCTCTGGCTCTGGTTAGTATGAGCAAGGAGGGAGGCCCTGTCCATCTCTCAGACTTGGAAAAGGAGAATCTCACAGCACTGGAGGTAAGAATGGTGCACAACAACGGGACTCATTGCTTAGCTTCACTGTTAACAGAGGTATAGTGACAGTCAGATGGTGAGTAGGCTTATAACTACAGTCCAACTCACAGTGTACAGGATGGGCCTGTGAAAATATCTGATGGCTGTTTCCCTAGTCCCTCAAGTGTACAATTAGGCTGTACAAATTATGGTCTGTTTTGTAGAGAATCTTGTCTTGGAACTTAAGCTGTAGGGTCAGGGTTGTCATGGATGTAAACACCAAGTGAATCCTTCTAGGGTTGCTGCATTTTCCTACATACTGGGTGGTAAGGAAAACTGCATGAATTGTGTGAGTCAGAAATAGAAAGTGTTCCTACAGTTGATCTATTCATTGTTCTAGGCAACTCGTGCATCGGACCTGACGGTGATGATGATGGTGGTAGAACATGCACTGTGAAGACTCTGGCAAGTCAGAGAAGCAGAACAAGTTGCTGGCTTAAGGATTTGGACAATAACAATTCTACCCCCAACAAATAATTATAATGCCGTCACTTCGTAGACCACTTTTCTGATGTAGAGCAAGGAAGTTTGAGAGGAAGGGCACAGCCATTCAAATGTGTGCATGTATAATAAGCACAGAGTCCTAATAATGAGTCACTAAGTAATGGTATTACCAGATAGCCTTATAAGTAGATATGCTGGGCCTTCTGGGTACAATTGATAAACAACACCACAACATGGCATCTGACATCTAATGTAAGATGAAAATCACTCTGAATGAAGACTAAATGAAAACAGAGGCATGAGTAGTTAATGTGGCCAAGTGGCCCAAATTCCCTCCATGGGGGAGAGGGGGGAAAGAAAGAGAGTCAGTGGTATAGGCACTAAGACAGCATGTACTGAACTCCTGCTGCCACAACCCACAATACACCAGGTGTCTTATTGCTTTGTTTATTTACTTGTCTGTTCTTAGCAACAGATTGAGGAGTTAAAAATGGCTTAGCTAAACCTGCATTTGGAAATTATTTCTGACATCCTGCTACATGAAGAGTCATTCTGTCATCTTTGATGCTGATGTATAATACAGTGCTCTCCCACCCCTGCAAAAAAAGTAGACTAATATTCTTAGTTTTACAAAAACAACTGTGTGGATTTTAAGAGCCTCAAGATTGATTCAGGAAAAATATAAGCAGGAGAGATACTGACACAGAAACTGGGAGCTGTGCTTCTAGAGAATCCATGGGTGGGCCTCTCATAGAATGAGACCTTGCAGTGACCATGTCACAACCACTTCAGAGGAGGGAAATGGACCAAGTGTGACAGATAAGAGAGGAAATCTGAGAGGGTTCTCATTCCACCAAGTGCGGAGTGGGCTTTCTAAGTTAGTGAGCTCCTAAGGGGACTATAGTGGCCGTTTATAGTCCTCTAGTTAGAAGATGTGTAGCAGTTTTGAAGAATGTGATAAGCTTTAGTCTGAGTGTTTGAAGTATATTCCCCTAGACAACACTTGAAGTTGGATATATACGAATTGCAATTTGATTTCCACAGGCTGCTGCCTGGTGACTGTTGGTTCTGGCTAAAGAGGAAGATGAGGCCATTTTGTTGTTAATGCATCAGGACCATGACTGGCCCCTTACACAAAAGAGTTAGTGTCTGGCTCTGGATTGCACACCTTGGGAAAGGTGAAACTCAAGCTGAACTGAGATTAAGAGTTCCCATTCTATCAGACAATTATTATCTATGTCACTCTTTCAAAAGTAGCTTTCCCTGGTTACAAATGCTGGATATCAAGGTCTAAGGGGATTTATCTCCAAAGTGTTGCTAATGGGGACAGTGAGACTGATTTTCAAAAAATTGATGCTTTCCTTTGTTTCTGAAATCTTGTTAGAACTCACAGATGAGGAGGGGGGAATTGAGAAGGAAAGAAAAGAAATGAAGGGGGAGAAAGGGGAAGGGAAGGATGAAGGAAAATAGAGAGAAAAGAGTGCAATGTCTATAGGTTAGAAAATGACAAGCATTTAAAATCTTTTAAAAGGCCTGTTTTCAAATGGCTTTCTTGGAGTGTTGAACTCTCTGCACACAAAACATACTTAGTCTCTCCACACTTACTTCCCTCTTCTTTCCATGGTCTCCATGGCCTTGGCCTTTATTTGAATGAGGAGGGGTTGCAAACAAACAAGGCCTGGTTTGCTTCCACTGTTGAAAAGTAGAGAGTGAGAAATTTAACTCATGAGTGATTTACAATGGAAGAGGGCAAGCACCTGATAGAGCTGAGTGGGAAAGAACTGGTAAAATGCAGCTGTTCCTGAGTTCTTGAAGATGACCATGGAAGCAACTGTGTCTACCATCCATATCCCATTTTCTTCTTTTGAATATTTGACCATTCTTCCTGTTCTGTGTCTCCCTACCTTGCACGCCCCCGTAGGCATCAATTTGGAGGAAGATGCTCAGCTGTCAAAGCATGTGACACTTCAGAGAACAAAGAAAATACATCACCTATGAATCTTTGCATACTGTGGTTAAAGGAAACTTTAGAAAATCTAAGTCAATTGTAAGAATGTTCCTGCTATCTTTCTGCTGCTGGGACCTCTCATAGATGTTATTGCTTCCCTGAGCTTTAGTTTTGTCACTGCAAACACTGGAAAGGGAAAGTGAGTTGTATTAATGGGTGGGGAGTTCAGACAGAAAAGGGTTGTCACCAGTGTTAGAGGAAAAATTCTTGGCCAAGAGAATAGAATCTTGGCCTGAGTGGAGACCTAGCATTCCACTTGGGCTGAATTTGAGCAAGTGACCAGTACTAAGATGAGTCACCTAATCCCTTCTAAAGAGTGGGTGGAATAATGAGTGCTTTAATAAGATGCTAAATGTTTCCTGCCCAGAATCACAGCCCCTAGTGTCTTAGGTTTGTAAGTCTCTCACTTTTCTGAAAAGTCTAACTTTTCTTTCTTCCACCTCTTCACAAGTATGTTTTCTTAACATTGTCTCCCCTGAAATTTTGGGCTTCCATTCTTGTTCACTAAAGTTTCTCTCTTCACCATGTAGCTGCTTGTCTACCATGTGTCTGATCTCCATGACAGCTTAAATGGCATGGCCCCTTACATCACTCTCCTCCATTCTTCTTCTCCAAGTAGCTGCTGACATTTTACAGCTGGACTACCCTTGCTTGTTTTCTTTTGAATTCTAATAAAGTTGTCTTTCTCTATTTGGGTCTATTTATAATTCTTTTATTTGTGAAACTAAGAACTAACAAAAGGAACCTGTATTCAGTGTATAACTAGCCATGGAACAGCAAGGAAGGGAGTCAAGTAATAACTATACTTCACTATTACCTGACCCCAAAGTTCACAGCCCTACCATTCTACATACTGACTGCACTGCTCCATGCTTTGTGGGCATCTCAAACCTCATAAAGGTCTAGATTTCTCCCGTGCAATACCCACATCAAGTTTCCTAGCACTTGGCTTCACCCCAAGTTAACCTAATTTTAGAAGATGTTTTCTGCCACTTATCCCCCTTATTTATCCCCTTGCTCCTCTAATTAACCCATTGGTTGATTCTTGACACTATAATTTCCTAGCACAGCACAGGAGATTCCATCCTACCCCAGTCAGCATGAGAAATTGCTTCCATTAGAATGTCCTGTGAGAATGACTGTGTGGCAATTTATAAATTGATGGTTGATTTGGCAGGGCCAAGCTCACTGTGGGTGATACCACTCCTAGGCAGGAATTCCTTGGCAGGCCCTGAGCTGCATAAGAAAGATAACTGAGCAAGTCAGAGGGAGCAAACCAATAAGGAGAGCCCCCCTCCCATTGTTTCTGCTCCAGGTTCCTGCCTTAGGTTCCCTTGATGATGGATTGTAACCTGTCAACCGAATAATTTCTTCCCTTCCCAGGTTAGTTTAGTTAGTGTTTATCACAGCAACAGAGTAGCAAACTAGGAGAATAATGTAAAAAGGAGAATTCTAAAAGCTATGCCACTTTGTACAGAATAAAATGTTTGCTTCCTATCAACAAGAACATTCTGTGCTGGAGAGATGGCTTAAGTGGTTAAGAATCTGAGTTCAATCCCCAGCATCTATATCAGGCAACTTGCAACATTCTGTAACTTAGCCCGAAGGGGATCTAACAGTGTTGCCCTTTATGAGCACCTGTACACACACACACACACACACACACACACACACACACACACACACACACCGAGAGAGAGAGAGAGAGAGATAAAATAATAAAACATATCTTTTTTAAAAGAACATTCTCTCATATGACTAGGATATAATTGTCAAAAATTAGGAAGCTTCTCTTTGATACATGCTTTTTAATTCATTGTTTAAAAGAATGTTTGGGATTTTTTTCTTTCTTTCGTATGAATTAACTTTATACATCTTTCAATCTCTGTATTTATTACCTGGAAACTATTCATGACAACTTATTATTCCTCCCATTAGTGCATGTGCTCTCTATGTTGGTGTGCCTGCTATTATTTTAATGATTAATTGTGTTGTCTTTGTTTTATTAAAGTTAATTATTGCAGAGGCTATGTGGTGGTTTGAATAAACCCCATAGACATATATGTTTGGATACTTGGTCCCCTGTAGGTAGAACTGTTTGGGAAGGATTAAAAAGTGTGGTCTTTCTGGGAGAGGGGTGTCACTGAGGGAGGAATTTGAGGTTTCAGAAGCCCACAACATTTCCAGTAGATACTTGTACTTATGGATCAAGATGTGAGCTCTCTGCTATTGCTCCATCGTCATGTCTGTCACATGGACTATAGCCTCTGAAACTGTAGATCCCAAATAAAAACTTTTATTTATAAGCTGCCTTGTTCATGGTGCCTTAAAATATCAACAGACCAGTAACCAAGACTGACGACTACTTAGTGTTTTGGAAAAGAAACTTTTTCTCATCTCAGACCAAAGTTTGTTCAGAATGTTGCTTGGTTGTGTTTTCTCTAATTCTAACTGCTTTTTATGTTTGATAATTCCTATTTTTCATGTATTTATAATACAAAAGCTTCTCTTACTTTCTTTTAAGGTTGGTTTTGTATGTGTCTATTATCTTTGATATATGAGACCAATACAATGCCATTGGTGACACCATTATTGGTTAGAAAATGTCATTATTTTATCTATATGAAAGAAGCAACCTGGGAAGTGCTCAAGATCGAACATGACGTTGGCAGTTTTGTTTCTTGGGTGTTTTGCTGTTGACTTCTGCTGCTTCTGTGGAGTGGTGGGCTATTAGGGTCAGACCTTTTGGAGCATTCAATTATTTTTATCTGTGAATTATTAAAATATTTTATGTCACTTAGTGCTTTGGTGCCTCTTTACGGTTCCTCTGAGCGTGATTTTTTTGTCTGAGTTTGGTGGCCGTGAGATCAGAAATTTACCTCTTTCTAACATTCTTGTTTTTTTTTTTTGCTTTAATTGTATTTAAAATAGCCTCACATTTCTTGTCCCTAACAGCTGTATATGATGACTAAAATCAGTTAAATCTTCATTTTATTACTCTCCTCCATACTTCTCCTTGCTTTCCCTTGCTTTTTACTTCTTTATTGCTTAATAAAAATGTTTTAAATGTCATTTTTCATAATTTTGAAACTTGGAATCTTTGTATGTTTCATTCTTTTGTGCGTCTTTTTCATAGAGCTCCATCATGATTTTTCTATTAGTTAATTTTCTAATTTTATTGAATGTAGGAGGGTGAGAAGAAAAGAGACAAAGAACATCATGCTATATATTAACTTCCCAGAACTTATCAAATTTTTGATAGGGTCTCATGTAGCCCATGGTGGCCCCCAACTCCTTATATAGCTGAGAATGTCATTGAACTTCTGAGCCTTCTGCATCTACCTACTGAGTGCTGAGATTACAGGCAGGCACTACCACCATGAAGTGTAAGGTATCATGACATCAGTGGGAGGAAGTGTGTAAAATG